TGTGAGGCTTTCCACATACATGAAAAGAGACATGCCAGAAAGGCATTGCCTTTGTTCCGGAGGCTGGAGTTAACTATGGGGAGCCTACTGAGACAGGAAAGGTCTGATTTTTCTGTTGTATCATAAAAAGTCATTGACATTGACTGGGAGACAGATACAACACGGTCAGAGAAGGACAACTTGTCATCAAAACGAGAAACTAAGGTTTTTTTTTTTTACCTTAGAAATTTACTTGAGATCATAGAGACATTTAGTGACTCAATGAGAGACTATGCTAGTTTAAAAGTATCTATACAATATATTACATTATATATACATAGGAAAGTTCTCTGTTTGTATGATACAATTGTTTGTCACATAATGAAAAATATAGTTGTCATAAAATATCATTATATTAAATATCGGCTTTGGCTTCAGTGGCAACTGACTCACTGAAAAAAACCCACACACAGTCAAAAATATCAGCAGCCATTTTCTTTTGTCACCATTTTTTAAAATACATCTACCCCAAGCCCTCACTTACAAAAAGCAGTATTCCTCTTTATCTGCAAAATAACTTAATCAATTTGAGAAATATGAATAGTTGTAAATTAAGTAAAACTGGAAAGATGGAAATGTTCAACACATGCATGATTATCAATTTACTTTAATCAAATTCAGTGAAATCATTAAAGCAGAAAGCTCTTGTGCATCACTGTAAGATCATACCTAAGGCCATATGCTGCTTGGCAACTGTGGTTTATAGTGGTTTTTAAGCAGCTAAGAATGTTTTCCTCAGCCAGGCATCATGCCTAACAACACCTTTTAGCCTTTTCAGAATCAGTGGGATTCTCAGCCTCTAAGTGGCTTATCACTTAAGTACTCTCTCTGACCAATCCCAGAGGCAACATTTCCATTGTTTATGTTTAATTTTTCAGAATACTCTGCCTGCTGGTGACGGCTCAGAGTGCTGGGGTCACTGCGTGTCCACTGGCATTTCATCAGATTGATGAAGTGCTGATGGATTTCGCTCTTGACTGATCTCTGGCTCTGGGTCAGGCAGCTTCCTTTTTGAGCACTGTTACCTCAGAGAGTTAGAAGAGTAACTTCTGAAGTGCTCATGTATCCTGAGTGTACATCATTTGTTGATGTTGTAGATACAACATAATGGGAAAAAATAGTTCAGTCCTCAACCGACTAAGGGTTTGTGTTAGAAAATACAAAATGTGGTTGGAGTTGAGGTGCATTGATCAAGTGACAACCACTACAGCCAGTATCAGCATTATATTTGAACTAATTTAGATTTTTGATTTATGAGTTTTGGGTTAGACAAAAATGACAAAGTCATAATATAACATAGATAAATGTGTTCTGAAGATGCTCCTTTAAAACCTGTTCTGTATAAGTATATATGCATTGTTATTAGAGAAAATAGATATAAGAGATGACAGGATTAGATGGAAACCGTAAGGGGTGTTTAGGTTTAGGCTACAGAACTACTTTGGATAAAGGTCTGACCTACAGCACTAAGGGGGATCTAGGTATTTACAATATGTTTTTCTTTTAGTTTGTTGCAATCTGCACAGTCACCATTAGAGGACACTACAACCCACACACTGAGCCTTTCAGGTTACATTTAGTTTTGCTTAAAACTAATAAAATAAGAACATTTTGAAAACTTGCTTGAAGTTGCTTTTAAGCATTTTAATGTGACATTTTTCTGTCTAGAACCAAACCAAGTGTTGCTGTTATGATTCTTTATTGCAGGAAAACAAATGAAACACAATGACAATTACCATTTTGCAGATATGTGACTTGGTGGTTACATTCACAAACAGCTTCATTGATTCATTGGACCATCTGCTCCACAATTCTTACAGCGTCATTTAGTATCAGATCCTCACAATGTGACTGCTGCTACAAACAGACCAATCAGAATCCGACGTGCAATGGTGCAGAGTGAACCAGCCAGTTGTGCAGTTGTTTAATTTTGCTGCGTGTACAAAATGTAGGAGCGGTGCAGTTGCTAACGTATGCTGTGTGCTTACAATGTGGCTTTATGCCATTTTATATGAACTTCTGATATGCCTGGCTCAGTTAGGAGCATAACCAGGAAAGGTGGTCTACATGGCAATCATTCTATTAAACAAGACATTCATTAAGCATAACTAGACACAGGCAAGCTCAAACATAATAAGTCAGTAATCAGCAGTGAAGTGTGAGTGTTGGATGTGAGGAAAAATAAATATGCTAACTCAATTAACTATCGCAGACACAAACACCAACGCGAAGCCAAGCTGGGAGCCAGAAAGGCACCAACAGGTAGTCATTGCACAACATGACAGCCTCAAATCAATGAAGTTATTTAAATTCCGGGGTCCGACACAGATTGCGGACCAGGATTTTATCACACCCATCTCACACAGTGTTGCTTAAACGTGCACGATAGTTGCTGTGGCACTTTAAAGGCACCTTTGCTCTCGCTGAGATGAGGACAAACTAAACTGGAGGATTTTCTTTCTATTTGGTTCCATGCCCATCTCACTCATTCTGCTTGATTTCCATATCTCCGTGTCCATGCAGACAAGAAAATGTTCTCATTAGCCTCGATGTGTATTCATATTCTAACTCACCTGCTTAGACAGTCACCTTTCTAATTCACTAATTCATCGTTCTTCAGCGATTCATCTCCATATTTACAGGCCAGATTCCCTCCAGCGGAACCGTAGAGATTCTCAGCAGGGAAACGGCGCTTCTCGGGTGTGAACGGACCCATTCCAAACACTCAGCTTTCCAATTATAGTACATCCCGCTTAACTGATGCTTATTAATTCATTCAAACTCATTATGACATGCAAAATAGGGTTCTCCCATGAGATGAATACTAATGAAAGTACAAACTTCTCGACAGTGCTGCTGCTGTCAGAGGTCTTTCTGTTGATATTTGCTTTAAGCTCCAGCACACAGACTAAATAAATTCCCCTTTAAAAAAGAGCATATTTAAAGAGCCCACTGGTGAAATCACTGTAAGTGAGCATTGATCAGAATCAGGTTCTTGTGGTAATGGTTTCTGACAGAAGGAGCCTGCAGTACTTGTGTAGTAGTGTGTATGGATTACATCTGGACTAAAAGAGGGTCCTACAATAGAGTGTGTATTGGGAGTAAATAAAGCTCAGGGTCTGGTCTGTGCCTGACTGACACTGAGCCGGCAGTGCCAGGCCATAGGACTAACCTAAATAAAACACTTAAATCCTTGACCGTTGGAGGGCTTCATTGATTGATTCGTCGGCCAATCAGAGAACATTGATCTCAGCTGCCCCTCCCCCATTCGCCTGCTCTCAGGGCCTCCTCTCTGTCCATTCGTCTGCTGGCTGTCAGAAGTATTCACTGGAGGGCTGTAGCTTTGGAAGGGTGCACTTTTAAACACACTTCCCCGGCTTTCTGAAGGAAATGCATTACGGTGCTTCATGCCGGACACATTATTGTAATTGAATTCTCCCTGGATCTGGTTGCTTTTGCTATCATGAGGCTAATGGGTCATTGATATACAGTGTCAGGATATTAAAAGCTCGCTTATTTCTTGAGCATATGCAGTTTTCTATATAGACAGCGTTGGAGTGTTTCCAAAGCTTGGGTGGACATAAAACTCTCCTTGTTGAATCATCAGTACAAAAGTGATGAACTGAAATACAAAGTAAATGAATAAATAACCTCAGAAAAAAGGGGAGGAGTCTAATAAAACTCACTTTGAAAGTGAATGTGAGTCAGTTTACGCACATTTACTGCTTAAATCCATAACCAAGTCAAATTTGAACACAACTGTCACACACATAGTTAGGATTATTTGCCACACATCCATAAGTCTATAAAGAAATCATACACAGAAAGAAGATACTACTTAATAAAAGTATTCAAACCGAAAGAAGGAGCATATCTGACGGAGCGGCAGCACAGACTTGAGCTCTGAAGGAGTTCTGAGATGAGCTCCTGCCTCTTTGAGAGTCCTCATGGTTGTTTGCTGCCAACAATTGTAAAGCTCCTTGTGCAATTGAGCACATCTCCCTAAGGTTTCGAGTGTATTAGCTACACAATAAGATACTACTTCAAACTAATGATTGGAATTGGACCAACAATTCCTTCAAATAAAGTGTATCATGGGTAAAGTGGAGCTGCATTGAATGCTATTGGAGCAATAGTTTCATCAGACTTTGTTGAACATGGTTGGGCTCTCCCTTTATCACCTTCAACCCAGTAAACATCACTTACTTCTTCATGGATTTCCTTTAACGGATGCACTACTCACAAGAGCACAAATAATTGACAATCAATGGATCAATAAGAGTGGTGCATCTCCTTGAGCAAACATCTTTGACTGAAGAGAGAGCGCTTGTGCAGGAAGTGTGGAGAGTAGAAAGTGACCGATTGTGTTATCGGGGTAATGTTCATCATTTGGTTTAGGTCACCTGCACATTAGTAGCTACAACAGAAAGCCAATCTTTGCATCATTGTTACCACAGCCCAATATTCAGATTTCCTTCTCTCAGCAGAATGTTTACTTATCAGTCGAGGCTGGTCGATATAAAACACTGTATGTAACGCTAACATGTCCTGTCTTTGCAGTTTCTAGTTCTCAGTCACTTTACACACCACCTGATTAGTTTCCTGTCCCTGTTCTTCCTGCTGAGAACCCCCTTGTATTCATCTGCCCTGCTCCTGAGGTTTTGAGGTCTTTTCGCAGACATACCAGTGTTTTTAAGGGATAGAGGACATTCACTTGTGATTTTGGATTTGTGACTGTTGCCTGCCTCTCACCTGTTTTGATCAGGTCTGACTTCTTGTTAATGAACATTTGAACTGGGAGTAAAGACATCCTAGATGCTGGTCTGGTTTTTCTCTGGTTTTTTGTGTGTGTATGAGACCTTTTGCTGTGATTGAGATGACTACTACTGTGAAAGCATATTTTTCTTTTAACATTCTAATCCTGACCAGTTACTAATCTGCTGTTTCTCTTTCTTTGACAGGGGGGATATTTGAGTCCATTGAAAGCGGCCCATCAGGTGCTGAGGAACTAGCCTTTAAATTTGCTTTAAACACAATCAACAGGAACAGAACCTTACTGCCAAACACCACGCTCACCTACGACATCCAAAGGATAAACATCTATGACAGCTTTGAGGCCTCCAGAAAAGGTATTTATGGGTTTCTGAATCGCAGCTCTGCCTCCAGTGTTGGCATGCTCTTGCCTGCTCTCTCTCTGTGTGTGTATTTATTAAAAACATTGTCTGTATTCGTGCACATATACCAGAGTCATTTTGCATTGTAAATGTACTCCCCCCCGTTTGAGGATTGCGAGCTGCAGTGGCTCAGATTGTGACAATTATAATCAGGCAATGGGAGGAACGGATGAGCACTTCAAATATAAACAGAGAGAATTGATTGGTTCCAGGTAATGACTCAGCGGCAGTAATTCAAAGACCTGTTTGGCCCCCAGAGACAGCCAATAAAGTGCTATAATCTAGCAGTTTCGTGTGTGCATCCAACTGACATTTCAAGTCTCTTATCAATTACTCGCCATTATATTCTCTCCCAGCGATTTAACCAACTCTCTCAGAGCAAATGAGTTGATTAGTGTACAGAGTCGAGCTAATGCTAAGCTGTGCAGTTGTTTTGTGTGTCCTATGAGGGCAGTGCCATGAAAGCAAGCTCAAATTGATCTTGGTCACAGCTTCTAATGTTGTGAAAATGTAATGCAATAGAGATTGTGTAATCAATATCAGTGGATATATCCAATTTAGCCACAAGAGCAGAGCATCAGTGAGCGTGGTGGCTGATGAAGCCTGGCAATTTCAATGCATATGTTCATCCCAAAGGTGTTGAATGGGGTTGAGGTCAGGGCTTTTTGTAAACCAATGACGTTCCTCCACTTCCTCTGAGTGACATAATGGCAGAGGTATAATAGGGGATTTAATTACAGCTAACCTTATAGCAGAGGCATCTACTAACAAGTCATCACACACGCTGAATGCGTTTATGACTGATGTATATCAGACTTTGGATACACAGAGGATTAATTCTTAGTTGGTTTCACTCTGCACGTCAGATTTGTTGACAATAGTAAAAAAATAAGAATTTCAAAACACAAATTTAAGTCCATACAAATATCTATTTTTTACGTTATACAGTGTGTAGATAATAAATAATTGACCAGTCTAATATTTCCCTCTCTAGCCTGTGACCAGCTTTCTTTGGGGGTGGCAGCCATCTTTGGTCCCTCACACAGTTCCTCTGCCAATGCAGTCCAGTCCATTTGCAATGCACTGGGGGTGCCACACATCCAGACCAAGTGGAAGCACCAGGTGTCAGACAATAGAGATGTCTTCTACGTCAGCCTCTTCCCAGACTTCTCCTCCCTCAGTCGAGCCATCCTAGACCTCGTCCACTTCTTCAAGTGGAAGACGGTCACGGTGGTTTATGACGACAGCACAGGTAAGTCCACAAAAACTTGGTTTCATTCCAACTGTCGTCTCTTTATGTCACAGGGAGGTTTTTTTGTTTTTAGTCCTCATCATTGTTTCAAACTGTACACATTAGAATATTCTTCTAAAATATTTAAACCGTAATTTGTTGCAGTATTCTGCTGATTTGAGTTTATTCGAAGTAGATAGGCCTATATCCTTTAATTTGAAGTTTGTTTGCTTTACTTTTATTTACTTAGATTATCACTGTGTAACACTTTTGTAACATGACTGAGCCAGACACACTGGAATTTGTAGGAACAAAGCAAAGCAAGAATATTTCCTCATTCAACAATTTGACATAAGAGGTATGGAATGCATGTATAACATTTAAAAAAAAAAAAGTTAATAAAGAAACTGGAAATATAGAAATGACAATTTGAATCCATTTTCTTGGGTATCAATATTAATTTATATTGTTTTGCTTTCAACTCTATAACATCCATGATAGCATAAGTGTCAGCCACATCAAACAGTTCTGGAAACCCATTGTATTGATTGTTTGCCACTGATTAAACAGATATATTTAGCGACTAGCTGCTAGCAGTTATAGAGCAATCAGGAGTTGATGAGCTAAAGGAGAATGAATATAATAAACTACCCCACAAGTGTCAGAATGTCACAATAAAAGACATCTGTTAAAAGTTAGTAAAAATGTTTAACCTTATATACCCTAGATTTATAGATTGTATCGTAATTACTTCACAAGGGTTTGAGGTATGGCCACATTAGGGACAATTTAAGCTGTGGAGCAGCCCATGAATGGTGAACATGATACGGGTAAAGTGATCAAGTTGTTGTTCCTACATGGCCTTAGAGATCCCAGGAGAAACCCCAGCAGGGAGAGAACACAATTCTAAATCACACTGGCATTGTTCATAATTAAAACCACAAAAGCAGCAGTGGAGCATAACCATCAACAACAGCATCCCATGTGGTTCAAAAAAGAAAATGTACAGGCTGTAACAATGAACCCTCAGGTTACAGAGCAACGCTTTAAGTTAAATGCTGTCGACAGCTTGGTAAAATGCTAAGAGTGATACTATAACTGTTGATGATTACCAGGTAAAATATTTACTGTGCTGGCTATCTTAGTTTATTTTGTTCTACAATAGCCTAGTTATAAGGACAGATGCCTAACTGAAGGTTACCATAGAGGTCTGACCTTCTACTTACCACTTATTCATTTTTCATAGAGCAAAAAAGTGTGCAACACAAGATTAATGTTTTGCACATTTCAGTTGTATACCTGACCCATACTAATAAGGAGTGGAAGAGTTTTTTTTAATTATTTTTTTTCTCATGTAAAGCTGAATATATTTGCCACTTATAAATGTCCATACTTCATTAAAGTGAGACAGTGTGTGGCAGCAGTAGACACAATTTTCTTGGTACCCAGGGAACGAGTCCTTGTTCAAACCTTGCTATTATTACAGTACAGGTCACCAGGCGACAAATACACCAGCAGGCTGGGTACATGTACCATATGCCAGGGGTCAGGGTGTGTGCCAGCCTGAAGACACGCTGTCAGGCTTCCCTGAGCTCCATCCAACACACACACTGGGACCAATGTGGCCTTGCTCACCGAGCTGCAGTGTGTGTTCACTGTGTTTAACAGTCAGGCCAGATAATCTCTGTTTTTTAGAGTCATGTTTGCATGTGCTGGATTACAAACAAGCATTTGACCAAATTATGAAGAAAATCTTCCAATAGCGATCCACATAGCAGTTCATGGCCTCATTCTTAATGCTGAGCATCAATCGGCAGTAACCGGAGGCTACCTCTGAACTGAGTGGAAGAGAGGTCCAGTCCGTCACACGGGCTGACACGCAAAGGAGACAAAGTAGCAAAATACATTTTCTGCTTGTAAATGTCAAATCTTGAAGATTTAAGAAGAATCAAACACCATGTTTTTACACAGCTATATATTTGTATTCTGGTATTGGTTTCCTTTCATTGTAATTTTCTTTGTTAGTGGCAGATGCTGTCTTTTCCCACAGAGGCTTCACAAACAAAAAATCCACAGGAAACAGTACTGGATGAGATGCAGCAGTTTATGAGCGCATTTAACGTAATTAAGAAACATTCAATTGCAACTTCTTGTGTGGGGTGACGGTGACAGTCTTCATCATTTAAACACCACAGTGTGATTGATCTTTTCAGCAAACAGTTTGTTTGACCGCTCTGTAAAAACAAAAACGTCACTTTGGCATGTGGAGTGAAGGAGTCAGGGATCAAACCACGGACACTCTGGTTAGTGGACAAACCTCTCTACCCTGTGATCCACAGCCACATTCAGTTGAAGTTAATTGAAGATTTATTGGAATATACTTACACCAAAAGATCGGAAACTCCCATCTTACAGGTCAGAACTAACAGGGTTGCACTACACACACACACACACACACACACACACACACACAGGCACACACACACCTAGTGTTAAACATATTGGATCAGTCATGTCAGAGCATATATCTTTTTTTTGTACTGAGTCTTTATAAGGCCTCTGTGCATAATTAGCACTCAAATGTAATTTACAACCTGCAGTAGTTTACTAGGAAAGCTAGGATGTTGCCTCTAGGGTGGATGGCAACAGGCAGCGTCCCTGTGTCTCATGATCAATTTGTCTCTTAGAGTCAGACAGTGAGTCTGGGCCATGCAAAGTCATATGTGTTTAAATACACCCTGTGAAGGACAACCTTCAGAGTTGGGTTTCATTAAATATTTAACTAGAATAGCTCATCTTTCTATTTTTCGATACTTTGTGCATGAATTAAGTGCTTCTGCTTTAGAAATCTGAGTCTCCTCAACTTCGTTCCAGCACTAGATTTTTCCATCACATTCTTCACACTGTCCTACCAGGTACTCTCAGATGGTGATAAATCACACCTGTTCCCTGGCACAAGTCCTGATCCTATATGCCGGGTTCACACGTGTACTTCGATCGGACCCAGGACACTTACTAATGCTAAGTGTGAACAGGACCTTGGTGTCTTCAGTGATAGCTACAGCCAAGAAAACATATATTGATCTTATTTAAGCAACCCCTGTCCTTTAAAACTGGCCATCTATATCCCCTGTCATTTAACATGTTTTAAATTTCACACAGCTCCCTTTTGCAGCACTGAAGACACTTGGTGTGTTTTTATTTTGTAAAATACTTTTACGAATACTTCTTCTTCCACACCATATCTACACCCACAACACACATGCCTAACTTTACTGAAATGGAAAGCTGAAAAGAACAAGCTCCCAGACATGCTGTGTCTTAATATGGAGAGGTGCTGTCAAAGGCGTCTGTGACCCAGACTTATTGAACATCTTGGCAGCAGTGCAGAAATAATTCCCTTCTAAAGTTAACAATCAGAGAGCCAACGTTTGGAGGAAGGAGCTTGTGGCTGTCTTTGCTTCTGGTCTCCGACTCCTCCTCACACTATGGCTCCAAGCTGCTGGAAGACGTCAGTATGGCTGACTCACAGGCCAGCAAGCTCCTGATTCTAGCATTGGCTGAAATGTCGAACATGACAAGAATTTACTTTTATAGTGTTATAGTTTGATTTATAGCATTTGTATATTGTGACGTTGCCCTTCCTGCCTAATAGATGGAATTATGCCAGAAACCAGCAAAACAAACAAAAAATCTTATCTGCATTTGTAAATAAATGAGAACCCACTGTAAAACCAGTTGTTTTTTGTAAGATATAGTAATTTGAAATGTATTGCATGAACATAAGACTGGTGGTATTTGAGTGAGTCACTTTCTGTAGAACAGTATGTGTGTATGTGCTGGTCTTTGCCTTGTAGGCTGCTTTAGCAAGGGATCAACTGTCACTGATCCCACCACCTCTGTTAATTAAGTAGTAATGTGGACATAACTGCTTCACCATGGGGTTAATAGTGGCTTGATTTTCTGTCTCGTGACAGGAAATGAGTCTGGCTCGACCTACAAACAGCCTCTAATTTTTATTGTCGCCATTTACACTGCTGACCTGATGGTGAGGACAGATAGAGTTGATGGTGGACACAGAAATCTGATCTAAATGGAGTCCTTGAAGAGGTGCAGGCGGGATTCTATTTCATTAGAATGTTCTTGGACTAAAGCACACTGCCTGCTGTCCTGGGCAAAGTCTCCACCGCAGAATATTTATATTACCGTATAATTCTCATGGGTTGTTTTTCCGTTGACCCCCCATGTCCTAAACCCTGTCTGTTTTTCAGGAATGGAAAATAAAGGGGAAACAACTTCTCTCTTTATGCTGTTTCTCCACCAAGCGGGGAGCAAACAAGCAAATCAATAACCATAATGGGACTCTTCTAACAGCTCAACTTCATAATGGCAAAACTGAGATGGCAGCAGCATGTGTTATAGCTCTCCCAGCCAGCCATAATGTCCATACAACTACCTGGAACACTAGTGCTGCTACCACGACTACTGGTGGTGCTACAAAGTTTGATTAGGCCATAAGGGAGGAGAAGCTACCACACAATAAAACACCCGCTCGGGGAGAACTGCTTCTCTCTGCTGTTCACAGTATGGAGTCTAAACATTTCCAAATATAACAGTCTTCCATCGTGGCAGCCATAGCTGCTGCTTTTGTGTTTCAGATTAGGTTATCCCTCAGTTTATAGACAGTTCATCATTCACCATTCACAGTTCACCCAATTAAAGTACAGCTACAGCAAATAAGCAATTAATCGATCAACAATTAATCAGCAACTATTATAATGATATTTTCCTTTTCAAGAAAATAAACTTGTTTGAGCTTCACAAATAAACAACTTATCTCCTTTGCAATGACAATTTTTTTCCCAGTCCAAAAGTCTGACTGGATATGTCACTGTGGACTCTGAGAAAAAGCGAGCCTATTCTTTTTTATTCAGATTGTAAGGTCTAAGCAGCCTTGAGTATTTCTCAAAAGAATGTAGTCACAACAAATTTAAATAAGATTGCTTTTATGTAAACAAAAC